TGTGGAAAGTCTTTTACACATAGCTCATCTCTTCATAAACACAATAAAACCTGTGAGAAGCAGGTGTGAAGACGCAGCATCTGGAACAAAGTGAAGGAGACAGAGCTGAGGCTGCATCATGTGAACCCAGAGTCAGACTCTACAGGATCACACTTCAGTCTTAACCCTGTGCTGCAGCTGCTGAGCTTTACAGACCAAACACTTATTGTGGATTTGAACCTCTTTACTTTGTGTCTGGAGACTCGGATACATCATGTTTTTGTCTGAAAGGAAAATCTTATGGTTCCTTTAAAGCTGCATCAAGTCTAAGCTTATACTGACATGTGATGAAGGAGACAGAGTGGGGACATTATTATTCTGAACTAAACTGCAGATAAAAACTATTGAAGCATTTTTACAAATTGTGTATTTCCAATTTTCTATCTGTTTTTTACAAATGTATTTGTGTTTCAAAGTGGTGGGCTCTAAATGGAGAAAGAAGTAAAAAGGTGCAGCCTCCCCATGAACATACAGAGCATATATATTAAACATGTGTTTCTTCTGCCGCTTTAGGACAAAGGATGCATTTTAGCTTTTGTGCTAATTCCAGCATCTTGATGTTGAAGCTGTTTCTGACACATCCATATGTACTGCCCTCATTCAAAGAAATGAACTGATGAATACAAATATGTCGTCTGTTTGGGACCATGAAGGAAGATCAAAGGAGGAAAACGAGTCCAGACAATAATGCAAGTTCAGTTGATTTGTCCTTTCTAAATCCATATTGATTGTTAGGATGTTGTTTTTCAATAAATGATTCCATTCTATTTACAAAGAGCGTTTCCAGTATCCCAGTACTTCCTTGTCGCCTCCAATAGCTAACAGTAATGTTGTTTATGTCACGTCCTGATCCTAAAGTCACAGATTATTACACCACTCTCCATCTCTTCCACACTGGTGAATATATTGTGGATTAATGTTTGTCCTTTCACAGTGGGCCTGGTTCTGTTGGTTTTAATGTTTCAGACGTGGATGGAACAATTAATACAATATTCTTCTTATTCCTATTTCACACAGAACACATTCCATTTTGTCATTCACAGCTTTTACCATAGCGATAAATGCCATTGCAGCTGTATCCATAGAAACAATTATCATAACAACTGTTGCCAAATCGTCTGTCACCATAGCAATTGTTACCATAGTGATACGTTTTTAAGTGTACTATGACAATGGCTACCATTGCAGCCAATACCCTGGCAATGTTACCATGGCAACGATTTAGTGTCCTTTTCTAACAGATAAACCTCTGACACGTCCTTTATAAACTCTTTATCAGGTGGATGAAAAGCTGACACAATATGTGCTTACGGTTTGCACAGAGGGAACAACAGCTTTGGAATGAGTTGTCATGGCAGCCGTTGGCATGGTTATTGTTGCCATGGTTAACAGATGAGTGAGAATGAGCCACATACACAAATACACATAGTTCATAACAGATAACACTGTTACATTGATCATCAGGTTAAGTATGAAAACATAAATACATTTCAGTTTTATTGAAAATGTCATGGATGTCTTTATTAATATTTATCTTTGTTTGGTTCAAGGTTTTACAATGTGATATAAAGATTTTTTAAAAATGATTATATGTTGATGCATTTCCTGACTTTAGATTTAAACACATTTATTCATCCAGGAATCATTGTTTGATTACATCATTGAGTAATATTATAATAGTCCATCCATCCATCCATCCATTTTCTTCCCCTTAATCCATTTCTGGGTCGGGGGGGTGGCCAGAGCTGCACCCAGTCACAGAGCACCAGCCCCTCACTGATCCTCCTGCAGGTGCTGAGTCCACAGGAGCTGAGATCTTTCAGTGGGGGCTTCAGGCAAAGTGGGGTTAAGTGTCTTGCCCAAGGACACAACGACAGCAGTCATCAGTGGGAGAAGGTGCAGAGGTGGGAATTGAACCCACGACCTTCTGGCCTTAAGGCCAATGCCCTCCCCCTGTTATAATATATAACATATCTTTATTTTTTTCATTCATTTAAAAACAAATGCAACGACAGCATTTAGTATGAATGAAAAGGAGCAGAAAGAAGTAAAAACTTATTAACACAATCATTTACAGTTCCAGTGCATGTGCACTATTGTAATGGTTTATCACTTTGAAACAAAAGCAGCACAAACAAGTGATTGTTTTTTGAGCACAATCTATGAAGGACCAACTTCAAGGAGGTTTTGCTTCTGTCACTAGTTTCCACATGTTGCCTCTGTCACATCTTTAGATCAGCTTTTTCAGACAGAAAAGTGAGAAAGAGAGGACCCCCCTCACTCAGCCAATCAGCTCTCAGCCCAAAGAGTCCCAGAGCTCTTTGTCACATGTTTAAAGACATGTTTGAATAAGATAAAAACAGCATGTTGTTGTCTTTCTGTCGGGAAAAGCATCGTGTGTTATTGATGCAGAAAAGAGTCCTGTATCCAGCGTTAATGTGGTTTCCATAAATACTTTCACTTTCATGTGTTTCCAGTCAGTAAATATTCTTGGAGACTGAAGAAAAGGCTCAGATGCAGAGTCTGGGATGGAGTCTCAGCAGAAGACATGTTTTATTGTTGGTTCACAGCGTAAGCCGCACGACCAGAGCTTCACAGCGTTCACATGGTTTTATACTAAGTCAGAACACAGAAGCTCTCCTCAGCGTCGCCATGGAGACAGTAGAGAAGTCTGCTCCCACCTTCAGACCAAAACATCCAGTGGAAAATCCCCGACTTCTACAGACTGTTGTAAGGAGATAAAAGAGGTTTAAAGTCTGTTCTTCATCTGTGTCTCTGCTGCGTCTCTTTACAGCTGCACTCTCTCAGGGGGCGGGGCCTCTCACACACACACACACACACACACACACACACACGCACACACACACACACACACACACACACACACAGACACACACACACACACACACACACACACACACAGACACACACACACACACACACAGACACACACACACACACACACACACACACACACACACACACACACACACACACACACACACACACACACACACACACACACACACACACACACACACACACACACACACACACACACACTAAAGTCCATTTCAGACCAAGCATGTCCCAGATCCTACAGCAGTGTCCTCGTTGAGCAGCTGACAGCAGTTATTCTTCCATCACAGGTTTATGATGGTTCTTTGGCTCTCACTGTCGCTCCAACGCTGCTGAGTTTTCAGATAAGAAACGTCGTCACAAATGTGTAACTGATGCTTTCAGATGTTCATCAGGACCAGGACAGGACTCAGGAGTGATGTCTCTGTTGTTGAACGAGGCCTTCTCTAAATACATTCAATGGACAATTTCAGCCAAAGACACTCACTTTCAAATGTGCCTCTCAGTGTGACTGTAGTCCTGCAGCACAGCAGCAGGGGGCGCCACACTCCTTCATAAATGTGGAGCTGAGGGATTAGAATCCTGTGTGTGATGATTCCAACATGTTCATATATCAGCCTTAAAACCAGCCGCACTAGAACCACCCTTTAATGTTGCTCAAACTGTGTGTGTGCTTTTCTACAACAAACATCGCAATATATGAATGATGTCAAAATTGTTGTGGTCGATACAGTAAGAAAAACTAAAGAATTCCATAAATCCAGGAGTTACATACATTTATACACACCCAAAACATACTTCAAACTAATATAAATGTTCCGTAGTAGCTGATATATATGGTCTGTTTGGATTAGAGGGGCCCAAAACGTCCTGTTCAGACCCAGGCTCAGGGCGCCACAGTTGGGGCGTAGGCTGCTCTCAGAGCTGTGTCTTTCATTTGTCTGTAGTGTTTGTCCTTGAAGAGAATAATGTTGGTGAAGTGCTCAGTGGGGGAGATCGACCAGAAAGTTACTGAGAGGTTTGTGTGGTCAGAGCATTTATCTGAGAAATATGTTAAAGGACCCTCAGTTTTTTTTTAATGTTAGTTACAGAGGGCTGTATGTTTTTAAATGTGAAGCAGTTTGTGATCCTGGACTGTGAAAGGCTCTATACAAATAACTGGACAGGGAAGTGTGACCCAGCTGTTGCTGTGGCAGGCTCTGCGCTGCGTGATTACGCACGGCTATTTGTATTCCTCATTCACATCTGGTAAAGCAATGTGTTATTTCATTAGATGTGTGTAAGCCTCACACAGACACACACCCCATTAACGCATGGACCGATGGACTATGGTATTGCTCACTCCAAATGTCTCACTGTCCACCCGCTGCGCACTCTTGGCAGGGCATCCAGGTGCCATGAGAGACGCGCCACAAAACTCCTCAAATGCTGTCATTCAGAAGTTTTGGCTCCAGAGTTTCTCTGTAAAATCTGGATGTCTCACTGCCCTGTCCATTTGAACAATAGCTAGCTACTACAGGCAAGAATTTGAGAAAAAAATAGTTTCCCCCTTCACAGTAGTAATAATGAAATTGGAAAAATTCACTAAAAATCAACAAAGACAGTTTTCCCAGTTTTGATGGGTGTTGTAGCTCACATTCAATGATAGCTAGCTACTACAGCCAAACTTTTGGGAAAAATATTGTTTTCCCCTTCACAGCGACAAAAATGAGATGCAGCCAAGAGGCCCATGATCACTCTGGATGAACTGCAGATAACTACAGCTGAGGTGGGGATGGTGTGTTCAGGGTGATGAGCTGTGTTGCTTTTACGCCAAACATATCGTTTTGCATTGTGGCCAAAAAGTTAGATTTTGGTTTCATCTGACCAGAGCACCTTCTTCCACATGTTTGGTGTGTCTCCCAGGTGGCTTGTGGCAAACTTTAAACAAGACTTTTTATGGATATCTTTGAGAAATGGCTTTCTTCTTGCCACTCTTCCATAAAGGCCAGATTTGTGCAGTGCACGACTGATTGTTGTCCTATGGACAGACTCTCCCACCTCAGCTGTAGTTATCTGCAGTTCATCCAGAGTGATCATGGGCCTCTTGTCTGCATCTCTGATCAGTCTTCTCCTTGTTTGAGATGAAGTGACTCCTCCAACAGTGATATAACTCCTCTGTGAGCTCCTGACTCCTCCAACAGTGATATAACTCCTCTGTGAGCTCCTGACTCCTCCAACAGTGATATAACTCCTCTGTGTGCTCCTGACTCCTCCAACAGTGATATAACTCCTCTGTGAGCTCCTCCTGACTCCTCCAACAGTGATATAACTCCTCTGTGAGCTCCTGACTCCTCCAACAGTGATATAACTCCTCTGTGAGCTCCTGACTCCTCCAACAGTGATATAACTCCTCTGTGTGCTCCTGACTCCTCCAACAGTGATATAACTCCTCTGTGAGCTCCTGACTCCTCCAACAGTGATATAACTCCTCTGTGTGCTCCTGACTCCTCCAACAGTGATATAACTCCTCTGTGTGCTCCTGACTCCTCCAACAGTGATATAACTCCTCTGTGTGCTCCTGACTCCTCCAACAGTGATATAACTCCTCTGTGTGCTCCTGACTCCTCCAACAGTGATATAACTCCTCTGTGAGCTCCTGACTCCTCCAACAGTGATATAACTCCTCTGTGTGCTCCTGACTCCTCCAACAGTGATATAACTCCTCTGTGAGCTCCTGACTCCTCCAACAGTGATATAACTCCTCTGTGAGCTCCTGACTCCTCCAACAGTGATATAACTCCTCTGTGAGCTCCTGACTCCTCCAACAGTGATATAACTCCTCTGTGAGCTCCTCCTCCAACAGTGATATAACTCCTCTGTGTGCTCCTGACTCCTCCAACAGTGATATAACTCCTCTGTGAGCTCCTGACTCCTCCAACAGTAATATAACTCCTCTGTGAGCTCCTCCTGACTCCTCCAACAGTGATATAACTCCTCTGTGAGCTCCTGACTCCTCCAACAGTGATATAACTCCTCTGTGTGCTCCTGACTCCTCCAACAGTGATATAACTCCTCTGTGTGCTCCTGACTCCTCCTCCAACAGTGATATAACTCCTCTGTGTGCTCCTCCTCCAACAGTGATATAACTCCTCTGTGTGCTCCTGACTCCTCCAACAGTGATATAACTCCTCTGTGAGCTCCTGACTCCTCCAACAGTGATATAACTCCTCTGTGTGCTCCTGACTCCTCCAACAGTGATATAACTCCTCTGTGTGCTCCTGACTCCTCCAACAGTGATATAACTCCTCTGTGAGCTCCTGACTCCTCCAACAGTGATATAACTCCTCTGTGTGCTCCTGACTCCTCCAACAGTGATATAACTCCTCTGTGAGCTCCTGACTCCTCCTCCAACAGTGATATAACTCCTCTGTGAGCTCCTGACTCCTCCAACAGTGATATAACTCCTCTGTGTGCTCCTGACTCCTCCAACAGTGATATAACTCCTCTGTGTGCTCCTGACTCCTCCAACAGTGATATAACTCCTCTGTGTGCTCCTGACTCCTCCAACAGTGATATAACTCCTCTGTGTGCTCCTGACTCCTCCAACAGTGATATAACTCCTCTGTGTGCTCCTGACTCCTCCAACAGTGATATAACTCCTCTGTGAGCTCCTGACTCCTCCAACAGTGATATAACTCCTCTGTGTGCTCCTGACTCCTCCAACAGTGATATAACTCCTCTGTGTGCTCCTGACTCCTCCAACAGTGATATAACTCCTCTGTGAGCTCCTCCTGACTCCTCCAACAGTGATATAACTCCTCTGTGTGCTCCTGACTCCTCCTCCAACAGTGATATAACTCCTCTGTGTGCTCCTGACTCCTCCAACAGTGATATAACTCCTCTGTGAGCTCCTGACTCCTCCAACAGTGATATAACTCCTCTGTGAGCTCCTGACTCCTCCAACAGTGATATAACTCCTCTGTGTGCTCCTGACTCCTCCAACAGTGATATAACTCCTCTGTGAGCTCCTGACTCCTCCAACAGTGATATAACTCCTCTGTGTGCTCCTGACTCCTCCAACAGTGATATAACTCCTCTGTGTGCTCCTGACTCCTCCTCCAACAGTGATATAACTCCTCTGTGTGCTCCTGACTCCTCCAACAGTGATATAACTCCTCTGTGTGCTCCTGACTCCTCCAACAGTGATATAACTCCTCTGTGAGCTCCTGACTCCTCCAACAGTGATATAACTCCTCTGTGTGCTCCTGACTCCTCCAACAGTGATATAACTCCTCTGTGAGCTCCTGACTCCTCCTCCAACAGTGATATAACTCCTCTGTGAGCTCCTCCTGACTCCTCCAACAGTGATATAACTCCTCTGTGAGCTCCTGACTCCTCCAACAGTGATATAACTCCTCTGTGTGCTCCTCCTCCAACAGTGATATAACTCCTCTGTGTGCTCCTGACTCCTCCAACAGTGATATAACTCCTCTGTGTGCTCCTGACTCCTCCTCCAACAGTGATATAACTCCTCTCTGTGCTCCTGACTCCTCCAACAGTGATATAACTCCTCTGTGTGCTCCTCCTGACTCCTCCAACAGTGATATAACTCCTCTGTGAGCTCCTGACTCCTCCAACAGTGATATAACTCCTCTGTGTGCTCCTGACTCCTCCTCCAACAGTGATATAACTCCTCTGTGAGCTCCTGACTCCTCCTTCAACAGTGATATAACTCCTCTGTGTGCTCCTGACTCCTCCTCCAACAGTGATATAACTCCTCTGTGTGCTCCTGACTCCTCCTCCAACAGTGATATAACTCCTCTGTGAGCTCCTGACTCCTCCAAGAGTGATATAACTCCTCTGTGTGCTCCTGACTCCTCCAACAGTGATATAACTCCTCTGTGCTCCTTACTCCTCCAACAGTGATATAACTCCTCTGTGTGCTCCTGACTCCTCCAACAGTGATATAACTCCTCTGTGTGCTCCTGACTCCTCCAACAGTGATATAACTCCTCTGTGTGCTCCTGACTCCTCCAACAGTGATATAACTCCTCTGTGAGCTCCTCCTCCAACAGTGATATAACTCCTCTGTGAGCTCCTGACTCCTCCAACAGTGATATAACTCCTCTGTGAGCTCCTGACTCCTCCAACAGTGATATAACTCCTCTGTGTGCTCCTGACTCCTCCAACAGTGATATAACTCCTCTGTGAGCTCCTGACTCCTCCAACAGTGATATAACTCCTCAGAGTCAGAACTAAACATGGGGAGGCTGCTTTTCAGATTCATGCTGCTAAAATCTGGAACAGTCTTCCTGAAGATGTGAGACAGGCCTCCTCTCTGACAATGTTTAAAACCAGGTTAAAGACAGTTCTGTTTAGCTGTGCTACAACTGAGGGATTTTATATTTTTATCTTTCTTTTTAATGTTCTGTGATTATTTATGATTTTAATGCTTTCTTGTTTTGTTCAGCACTTTGAGTTGCCTTGTGTATGAATTGTGCTATATATATAAACTTGCCTTGCCTTGCCTTGGTCTCTCTCTGGTCTCTCTCTCTGGTCTCTCTCTCTGGTCTCTCTCTGGTCTCTCTCTCTGGTCTCTCTCTGGTCTCTCTCTCTGGTCTCTCTCTGGTCTCTCTCTGGTCTCTCTCTGGTCTCTGTCTCTGGTCTCTCTCTCTGGTCTCTGTCTCTGGTCTCTCTCTCTGGTCTCTCTCTGGTCTCTCTCTCTGGTCTCTCTCTCTGGTCTCTCTCTGGTCTCTCTTTCTGGTCTCTCTCTGGTCTCTCTCTGGTCCTCTCTCTCTGGTCTCTCTCTGGTCTCTCTCTCTGGTCTCTCTCTGGTCTCTCTCTCTGGTCTCTCTCTCTGGTCTCTCTATGGTCTCTCTCTGGTCTCTCTCTGGTCTCTCTCTGGTCTCTCTCTGGTCTCTGTCTCTGGTCTCTCTCTCTGGTCTCTCTCTCTGGTCTCTCTCTGGTCTCTCTCTCTGGTCTCTCTCTGGTCTCTCTCTGGTCTCTCTATGGTCTCTCTCTGGTCTCTCTCTGGTCTCTCTCTGGTCTCTCTCTGGTCTCTGTCTCTGGTCTCTCTCTCTGGTCTCTCTCTCTGGTCTCTCTCTGGTCTCTCTCTCTGGTCTCTCTCTGGTCTCTCTCTGGTCTCTCTCTGGTCTCTCTCTGTCTCTCTCTGGTCTCTCTCTCTGGTCTCTCTCTGGTCTCTCTCACTTGTCTCAGCTGGTGCCACTATCTTTATATTTCTTCTTTAAAATGCTCCAAAAGCTGAATGTTTTCATACCTGTGTTACAGTAACCAAGGCAACAAGAAAACCAAAGATCACATAAATCAGAAGTTTATTACATCACAGACGTTTATCACATGTAGTTCTGACACTGAGGTGAGTCTCGGTCTGGATCAGAGACGACCTCCGACCTCTGGACTAGAGCAGGGAGCAGGACGACCTCCGACCCCCGCTGGCTGAGGCTGTAAAATGCACATCCTTTATTCTGTAAAGTAGTGAAGAAATGTTAAAAGTAACAAACAATTTATTAATCACAGTTCATCAGATCACGACAGCCTCAGTCCTGGGTCTACAGCCTCAGTCCTGGGTCTACAGCCTCAGTCCTGGTCTACAGCCTCAGTCCTGGGTCTACAGCCTCAGTCCTGGGTCTACAGCCTCAGTCCTGGGTCTACAGCCTCAGTCCTGGGTCTACAGCCTCAGTCCTGGTCTACAGCCTCAGTCCTGGGTCTACAGCCTCAGTCCTGGGTCTACAGCCTCAGTCCTGGGTCTACGGCCTCAGTCCTGGGTCTACAGCCTCAGTCCTGGGTCTACAGCCTCAGTCCTGGGTCTACAGCCTCAGTCCTGGGTCTACAGCCTCAGTCCTGGGTCTACAGCCTCAGTCCTGGGTCTACAGCCTCAGTCCTGGTCTACAGCCTCAGTCCTGGGTCTACAGCCTCAGTCCTGGGTCTACAGCCTCAGTCCTGGGTCTACAGCCTCAGTCCTGGGTCTACAGCCTCAGTCCTGGGTCTACAGCCTCAGTCCTGGGTCTACAGCCTCAGTCCTGGGTCTATAGCCTCAGTCCTGGGTCTACAGCCTCAGTCCTGGGTCTACAGCCTCAGTCCTGGGTCTACTAAGCCTCAGTCCTGGGTCTACAGCCTCAGTCCTGGGTCTACAGCCTCAGTCCTGGGTCTACAGCCTCAGTCCTGGGTCTACAGCCTCAGTCCTGGGGCAGACTACCTTTGGGCAAGACGTTTTTCTCGAAGTATCCAGGGTTGTTGATGTTTCCGGCCTTCCTGTACTGTCCGACCACAAACACTGTTGTGCCGTCAGTGGCCACGCCCACTCCCAGCTCTGTGCTGTCCTTCCACACCACCTGAGTGAAGTGTCCTGCAACACACACACAAGCACACACACCCACACACACGCACACACACATACACACATACACGCACACACACACACGCACACACACACACGCACATACATACATGCACACACACACACACAAACACACACACACACACGCACACGCACACACACACACACGCACACGCACACACACACACACACGCACACACACGCACGCACACACACACACGCACACACACACACGCACACACACACACGCACACACATACACACACGCACACACACGCACATACATGCACACACACACACACAAACACACACACACACACACGCACACACACATACACACACACGAACACACACATACACGCACACACACACACACGCACATACATGCACACACACACACACAACACACACACACACACACGCACATGCACACACACACACACGCACACGCACGCGCACGCACACACACACACACACACGCACGCGCACGCACACACACACACACACACACACACACACACGCACGTACACATACATGTACACACACACACACACACACACGCACGCGCACACACACACACACACACACACACACACACACACACGCACGTACATACATGTACACACACACACAAACACACACGCACACACACATACACGTTTTTGTTACCTGGTGGGTCCCTTTGACAGGGCCGTTCAGAATGGGACCCATAGACATAATCTTTTTTTACCAAGACTTTAAGTAATACAAAACAGTCAATAGAAACCAAACAACTATTTTAAAGGAATTTTATTTTAGATTTTGTTTTCGAATTGCAGTGATTCTATTTTTGACATAGAATTTAATGCCACTCCATGTCCGATGTCTAAGGTCATCTGGTGAGGCATTAATGCAGGCCAGGCCAGGCCAGGCCAGGCAGTGAGACTTCCCAGGGACCTTTCCAGTCTGTATGAAAGGCGTCATGGTCTTCTCCACAGCCTTCACCTCAGATGCAGACCATGGCTTTCTTACACGTTCTAGGGAGAGAAATAAAAATATATTAGCGATATACACTCCCAGGGTGAGGACCAAGCAGCCTGGCTGTAATCCCCCACCTGGTACACTTACCAGAAGGGGCACTGCCACTACCATGGGGTGCATCTGGATGAATGGTTGAAGGTTCTCCGCTTGAAGTTTCTTTTAGCCCGTCCGTTTGTGAGAGGATCTCTACTGCTCTCCCTGTCGCACAGAAAATAAAAATACAAGTGGCCTTTAGGGGAAAAAAATCATACATATTTTAATAATATCAAGAATTACCTTCAGGCTCAATTGGTATCTGGTCGAGGCTCTTTCCTTCGAATTCCGTCACTCTTCCCTGCTCCATGGCCATCAACACTTTGCTGATTTTGGCCAGCTCCAGTGTCCCCTCTGGTAGTCTGTAATATTGCCTGTGGATGCGAATGTCATGGCCGAGGAAGTTGGCAAGTATGTCCATCTCATTCTCTTTCATATTGAGAACTGTAGACATAGTAGCTATGTGCTTTCTAAGTTTGGTTGAGGATAGCATCTCTGGATGCACCGCACCACATTCTTTGGCTACCTGGCGTAGGGAGTCTGATCCCCTGATGTGGGTGTCTGCGCCCGGGCGGGAAAAGAAGTATGGGTTATGGTCAGAGATGGAACAGGCCCTTCTGTTCTCCACCAGCACCTCCATCGAAGCAATCATTTCAGGAGTCAAAAGAACCGGCACTTTCCGACTTCTTTTCCCTTTAATTTCAATGCGTTGAAAATGCTGACACAGCTTTTTCTCAAGTTGGGACAGTCCCAGAGCAATGTCAGAATGGATCCCAGTCTTACTTCTTAAGGTAAAGGCTGTCAGTGGCATCTTTGAAACCTCACCTTCCCTTCTTCGATTGAAAATGATGACCTCACAAAGAGTCAAAACTGCCAGTTTAGACCAATGCTTAGACGTTGGCTCACTTATTAGGGTTTGCACATATTCAGGTCGACATACCTCAATATGTGCATGCATGGCTCTAACGTCCTCAGTCAGAGGGAGCAGGTCCGGAGTGTTCCACTTGGCTTGCCGGAGGGTCTGTAGGGCAGCAGAAGAAACACAGACGTCCCACCTCTTCTCAAAAAGCAGCCGGCTTCGTTGGAGGTTTTTTAATAAATAGTTCATCAACACAATGCTCCATTTTTGAGTCACATTCAAGAATATCTGCTAGCTTTCTGAGGCTATGGCCGAGTTTGAGGGCCAAGGATGGAGTCTTGTATTGATTTGTTTCCTCATCATATCCAGCCACAGACCTGACTGCATCAATCACATGGTTAAAGTTGGAAGGAATAAAGAAATCCTTAATTGTTTTCAGTTTCCCTGCGGTTTTTGCTTCGTTAATTAACCTACCGACTTCTCTCATTTTCTGCCTAATGTAATCATGCTTAGTCTTATCATGCCCGTGTTTTAAGTACAGGTGCTCTCCGAGTCTCAGAATCCCCTTTTCTGCTTTGACAACACCCGTGACCTCATCCTGATGCATTGCCGAAATTAAAGACCACAGCTTTTTGCTGATGCCCTCCGGTACAGGCTGGGCTAGGGAGCAGAGGGACTGGACCCTACTTCTACCTGGTTTAGCCTGGGCATCTTTCTGTGAAAGCCGGCACCTGGCCACATGCCTCCACAGCGACTTTCGCTTAAGCAATGCCCCACAGTCTATACAGTGCAAAAACTCACTGGATTTAACTGGGGAATTTGGCTGTTTAGCTGGGACTAAAGTTCCAATGCCGGCCTTTAAAACCTCAAAATTGTGCTCACGGTTTCCACTATTCCTGATCAAATCAAACTGAAGTTTACGTGCTTTAGATTTCACAGGTAGAGCCAATGCTCTGGCTACGTCACTTTCATTTCCATGTTTTCTAGTCAAATGACGGGACATTTTGTGGCAGGACATTGAACAGTAGAGGCAGAAGTGTCTCTTGCTGTATACTCGCCCCCCATTTTTCTTCTTTTGCAGCTGCATGATAACAATCTTATTTGCCTTTGGTTCGTCACTTTCCGAGTCTTGAAGAAAAGTGTTTTTGATTTTTCTTTTTCCATACTTTTTTACAGGTTTCTTCTTGACAGTTAAATCGTCAGAATCTGAGTCGACTTCATCAATTAGGGACTCTTGACTAAGCTGCACAAACAACAAATAATTTGTAATCATTCTATATAACAATTTGAAGTCATGACTTGTAGTCAGCACTTACCAGTGGTTTGTAAGCGTGCGCTTCAGTGTGCTCCTCCATGATTTCTTGCAGCCTAATGAACCACACACTTGCACCTTTTTCTAGCCTGACACCTGATTTCCTCTGTTGTGCTGCTCCATGATTGGCTCCAGCCTGCTGGACTGAAATTGCCCCAGTGTGCCCCTCCTTGATATCCCGCAACCCACCACCAGGGTTCCGACACATAACACACTTTTTTCAGGAAAGTAAACCTCCAGGGGTCCTTTCCATATTTTTACAGAGACTGCATAAGGACCGTTAGAAAAGCATTACCCATTGATTATTAAGCTTGGACCAGTGGGGTCCGGTGTTCGGGCCCCACCACGTAAAACCAGTCCCCATGACGTGAGTGGAATCTCAGGTTATGGAACCCACCAGGAGTTGAAAACAAGTGCACGCACACACGCACATGCATACACACGCACGCACGCATACACGCACACACACACACACGCACACACGCACACGCACACACACGCACATACATGCACACACACACACACAAACACACACACGCACATGCACGCACACACGCATACACGCATACACGCACACACACTCATACACACACACACGCACACACGCATACACGCATACACACACACACGCATACACACACACGCATACACACACACACACACACGCACACACACACACACACACACACACATGTTTTTGTTTTTTCTTCTAATCTAATCTACCCTAGCCAGTACCAGGTCCTTCTTTAGTCCCTCTTGGTCCTGGTTCTATCCAGGCTGAGCTGGTACTTAAATGTTCTAACTGACAATGATTGGCCAGAGTGCTGCTAGAAGCCGTGGTTACCAAGGAATGTCCCCGGATGCTGGTTTGTTGTGGGTCGGTTGCCGGGATACGGTACCAGAAGTGTGATGGAAAATACAGCATGTGTAGAGTAAAGTTTGTGAATCTAGTAAAACCCGCTAAAACAGACTGATGTTTCAATCTTGACTGGTCCTAATATCAGAACGTCTGGTACTTTCTAAATGTTTTCAGAGTGTGACATCACCAGTGTTCATGCCGAACCCAGGTTTCTGGAAGTTGTAGTCTTTGATCTCACTGTACCAGCTGTCCACCGCCTCGTTACCTGGAACACAGCAATGAAATACTGTGACTGTGATTCTAATGAGGAGGTGCTCTCTCTCTGTGTGGGTGGTGCTGTAGGTGGTGCTGTAGGTGGTGTGGGTGGTGTGGGTACTTTGTGTGTGTGGTTTTGTGGGTGGTGTGTTGGTGGGTGGTGTGGGTGGTGTAGGTGCTGTGAGTGGTGGTATAGGTGGTGTAGGTGCTATGAGTGGTGGTATAGGTGGTGTAGATGCTGTGGGTGCTGTAGGTGGTGCTGTGTGTAGTGTAGGATGGTGTAGATGCTGTGGGTGGTGTAGGTGGTGTTAGTGGTGTGTGGGTCGTTTCGTGGCCGGTGTGGGTGGTGTAGGTGTTGTTAAAGGTGTAGGTGTTGTGTTGGTGGGTGGTGTGTGTGTTGTGGGTGATGTAGGGGGTGTAGGTG